CCCCCTGGTAGTGAAAGAGTTAAAAGATACTGTAACTGTAATGGAGTTGTCAATATTTTCTTGTTTGTCCTCCTTAGGTCCCTTGTAAAATGTCATAAATGATTTGATAGGTGTGTATGTTTAGAATCATATTGCGCTGTCACATTGTAAGCCTGGTTTCTTACAGATTTTTCGAAGAATAAAAAACAAAAATTGTACTAATGTAAACAGTGAAGGAAAACACAAAAGCTAGCCCACAGTACTTTTTATACTATTTATAGTGCATGCTAATTCCCAATTTTTATTGAAGAGATCTACTTCTGCCTTGATTGTTCAATAAAAAGAGTTGACCTATTTCTTCCAGTTACAAGGTTAGAGCAGAACACCATTGATTTTCCACAATGTTATTCTAAGTTTAATGAGTTACTGATTAAAGATGATATTTTAGTGTCAATTTTTCTCATTTTCAGAGCCAAACTGAGGGAAGAAATTGCAGATTTTCTCCTCGAGGATGCAGAAGATTCTTGATGAGCAGAGATGCGCTATTGATTAGTTTTAGCCTCCCATGTGATATAACATTTTGTCGTCGATCCGTCACAACTAGCTTTTATTTGCAAAATTTTCACAAAGGATGTCACTTCTGTGTTATGAAAGAGTTTGTTTTCAAAACTCAACGTACGCAGTTTTTAAAACGCAACATATTTATGCAATTTTCAAAGATTCAAGAACACCACTCTCAAATGATTCAGTAGCAAACAGTAACAGCGGAGATACAAATGTTTTCCGTCAAAATACTTTATTTTCAAGCTTTATGTCGCATTTTGGCTGAAAATATTTGTATCTCCGCAGTTACTGTTTGCTACTGAATCGTTTGAGAGCGGGGTTCCCAAGTCTTTGAAAATTGGGCATGTCTCGTTTTGAAAATAAACTCTTATGTGTCACGACGTAGTGGAATCAAGCGCTCGTCAATTTTTGGGCAGGGTATCATTATAAAGCTTGTTCATTTGTCTTGCTTTCGTTGAAAAAATTACACATCTACCTTGAATAGGAGTCGAGATATTTGCAATTAAAGGAGATGGTGTTGCTTGGTTTCAGAGGTAAAATTAGCAAGAAAATGGCCGATAAAGTTTGGCGACTACCTATGCTTGAGAGTCCTTGGAAAATGCAAATTTACATCTTTTGTGCCTTTGATCGTTTTTTCAGTAAAATCGACACATGAGAAAGTGTTTTTAAATGGAAATCCTACAGGAATTAATTAAAAAAAAGGTTTTATGTGAAAATATACTTTCTTCTTCTTTTGTGGAAAGCTTTTTTTTGAGAGGACTTCTTTGAAGTTTGATGTATGATTTGTTTTCCTTTACTTCACTCCTCATCCTACATCTGTCCATGTTTGTGGGTGGCTGGCGGGTGATCTGGTGTGGTCTGCTCCTTTTCTCGTATCAAATTCAAACATCATCATCCACCTCTTTTTGATTTTATTGTGTTTGTTACTCTCTTGTAATTAGTGACACCTCCTAATTGAGTGGGTGGTTGGCGGGTGCTCTGGGGTGGTTTGCTCCTTCTTTCCTATAAAAAAATCTATCGTCTATATCTCCCCTCCTTTTTTGTGTTTGTTACTCTTTTGTAACACTTCTAATCTTCGGCACTTATATGACCTTATTGTGTTGAAAGTGCTGTAAAACTCTTACTATAACTAAACTGACCTAATTGTGTTGCAAGTGCCGTAAAATTCTAACAACAAAAAGAATCTCCCATGTTTTGGGGAAATGGTTCACAGGACAGTGCCATTCGAAGGTCCTGTAATTGCTCTCATATTTTGGCCGTCTGTGGTCGCGCTTCTCCAGCAGCGTTTTGTGACCATAGCTGTGTTCTTTTGGAAACAAAAGAGTAAATGTTTTATGCCTTCTTCGAAACAAATTACTGTATATATCATCGCGGATAAGACGCAGGAAGATCTGACAGCCAAAATTTGATTAAAATCATATCGACTGTTCTGTAAGACCTCGTCATACATCACTTTTTAAAAATGGTTTGTTGAGTAGGTGGTTGGCGGGTGCTCTGGTGTGGTTTGCTTCTTCTTTCCTATGAAACATCTATCATCCTTATCTCCCCTTCTTCTTTTTTGTTTGTTACTCTCTTGTAACACCTCTAATCTTCTGGCGCTCATATGACCTTATGCAGTTGCGAACGCCGAAAAACCTCTACTAAAACTAAAAATGGTTTGATATGTTCATTGAAAGCGGTGCACCAATTTTTTAATGGCAAGCACCATCACCTAAAAGTTGCCCATTTTATTTCCAAAAAGTCAAAGTAAAAAAATGTATAAAAACGCTTCTGGCTTCTGGTCATTGTTGAACGGGTCTCTGAACTCATCATCATTCATCTCAATTGCTTTCGACTTGTCACACAATTTGAGAGTTTGTTACCTTGGTTATCCCCCACGATTTTTGGGTCTAATTTCAAATCTCAAAGATAAGACACAAGGCGACTTTTAATATTAAGCCCCTGACCTTAAGGTAAAAAATCTACATCTTGTATGCGATGATATATAATATATATGGAAGATGATTTAGGGGGCAGGCTGTTTCGACCCTGCCTATCAGGACCAACCTAGGCTGAATGGGATATGAGCACCCAGCAGACAGACAGAGCTACTCAAAGTACTGTAACTTCCCAACTCGGGAATCAAATTTATGATCTTCTGAATACAAAAACGAAGAGCCTGACCATTACACCACAGACGCTGGCCCCTCAAACCGTATACTTAAACAGGGGGCTCTCGTGGCCTAAAGGATAAGGGGTTCGACTCATTCAATAGGTCTTTGGTTCGAATCCAGATAGAGACATAAAATTTTCTTCTCTAAAATGTTCTCCATGCACATCCTTTCCTGCTCTCTAACAATGTTCTGTTGTCTCCACTTCCTGCCGCCACCCGCTCACCTCCTTTGCCCCCTCCTCTGGGCTCCTGACTCTTACTGCAGCCTTCCTACTGATCAATACTAGTAGGTTTTCGCCGCCACCCGGGCATAATTCGAAATTTCCTACCACACTGAAAATGTTTCATGTGTCCCGCGCGCTCATATGACCTTATTCAGTTGCAAGCGCTGTAAAAAAAAAAAAAACTGACCAAAAAAAGCAAACTTCACACTTCGGCAGCAAAAAAAAATAAATCTTTTTTTAAAGATTTCCTAAAACCTCACACACCAACAGCCAGCTATTAATATTAACCATTCCCCTACTAGACCTGCTCCGCAACCTGTACCCAGAGAGACCACGAGTCTCGGGGGCCAGGGAGTGAAGGGGTTATTGAGGTGATCAAGGAGGAGACATCATTACATAGCCAGCAATCGAGTGACACACATAAACCTCATCGGATGTGGTAGGACTGGACCACGGATTGACAGAGGAAATAAAAAGGAGTCAAAGCCATGCAGTACATAGTCTTTCATTCGTAATTCACAGGTCAAACAAAGGTTAATTACATACAATACAGTCTGTTGGTTGAATTATGCATGAGCGTGAACGTCTTGGAACATTCGAATAATGCAGATTAATATATTATTATGTACGTATATAGAAAACTGGAAATAAATGGGAGGGAAATAAAAACAAAAAGACGGAGAATACTCTGGAAGTGGTGAGACCTGACTTTTTTATCACGACTTTGAATTTCTCCAAACACTGCCATGGTCTTCCTCCGCAATGCTTTCATCTTTTTACCCCAAAAATATCCATAGTGACAATACAAAACGAACTGGTTATATTTATATATTCTATGTACTGGAGAAAACAATTAGATCAGAGAAAAGTTCTGCAATTTGCAAGGAGGTTTTGAGGGGGAAACTCCAGACTTTCTGTCATTCAATCCAAAAACAAAACAAAATTTCCAAATGACTTTTATTTACTTTTAAAATGTCTTTAAAACTATTTATCAGGAGTGTCTCCAAGCCTACTCCCATGGTTCTTTGACAATTTGTCGTCGACTAAGATTCTCTGTTTCTGTCAAAATGCATTATTCCTTCCCATAGGTTATAAGGGACAGTCAAAAGAGGCATTGTCCGGCATCATTTCAAAGACTACATCAGCAGTTGCACACAGCCTCAGCATTGAGAGAATGGTTTGCAGTTATTGGGTCTATCTCACCAGTTCCAATGTGCACCACCAACAGAACCCATCTTTTTTTTTTTTCAGTTTTTTTTCTTTCCAACTCCTTAGAAACAAAGAGTTTTCCTTGAGGACAAGCATAGCAAAGCAAGACAAAGCTAGCATATGATCTGTCAAAACAAGAGGAGGTATCAGTGAATCTACCTGTGAGAACAACTGACCAGCAAAAAAATTATTTTTTTTAAACCCAAGAAGTGAGAGAGGAGGAAGGGGGGGGGGTGTAGAGAGATTTCTCTCACAGGAGAACAATGTACCACAAACAAGGCCTGTGTTAACTACTGCATGACACGATGATATCGCAAACTTTCATTTACCAAGTTTTCCAAAAAAACGATGAAGAACGAATGCAAGTACTCTCATTTAGTCAAAAAAATTCTTTATGGATGTTAAAAATAATAAATACATGTATCTACAGAACATAATGGCTCTATTTATACTTTCAAAAATTAATAAAAATGTTTATATTTTGAAAAAGAAGAAAACAAAACCACAGACAGGGGTAAATTAGAACAAATAAATTACTTAAATAAAGGCATATACAAGACCACTTCTATGCAAGTGACATTTCACAACTGGAGGCCAAATAAAAAACCCAAAACAACCACATTTGCATAAAAATCCTAGTCATGACATGATGATTAAAGAAATTCTTTCTTAGCATGAGGCGTACAAGATAAAAAGTGGCAGACCTTGATGAAGAATGAGAACATGCCACAACATAACAGAAGGGTCTTAGATCTCAAAACTTTTCCTGCCCTGCACATGTATCTTATTGGTACTGCAATGGCACAGTCGTATCTCAATTGCTCAAGTCACTTTTTTTTTCAGGTGTCTGGTTGAAGAAATAACTTTTACCTGCTCTTCTGCTTTGTTACAACAATATAGCAGGATGATGTTCCATTTACATTAAAATCCAACAAGGAAAATAACTTTTTTTTAGAGGGGGGAGGGGGGAGTTTGTGTGTGAAGTTTTTCTAACCAACAAAATGTGAGTTAAGCAACTGAGTAACAACTGTGACTGTGTGATATCACCGTATGTGTTCAGCGCCTCTTTCAACCTACTATAGTTACTGTCCGATGCAGGCTGCTCTGACTTTAACCTTCATTTCTTCTGGGATGGAGGTAAATCAAAAGTGAGACACAAACACTCCCCGAACAGCCTAATCTAACTCGAACCTCATAGGAGGAATGGAACCCAGAGTCGGCTCTTGACTTGACCTGCTAAAGCACTCTATCTTCACTGTACTACCCATCATGTGTTGGGGTTTGGGTGTGGGATAAGTAACCGGATACAGGCTGTTTCCTCGATTTTATCTATTCCTCACTACTTCCAATTTTGAGCCAAAACCTTTTGGTGCAGATGTCACGATGACAGCATTATGAAAACAGCGATAGCTCTGGTTTTACAAGAAATGGGGGTAAGTACTTCACCAGATCAAAACAGACCTGCACAGCAATCAAGTACAATACTGACAGAGCTATGTGTACCACAGTGGATACTGTCGCCCATTGATGTGCTCAGCCAAATACTGAAACATTTAAACAAACAACCGTTTTTACTTGTGGGAAGAGGCACCTAGAGTGGGGAGACAAATCTATTATTTTCACGGACTGCCGCAACTCTTTGTCAAGATCAAATCAAAATCCGAGTTTTCTCCTAAAAAGAAGAAATCTGCATACTTCAAATTCCAACAAGAACAGAACAAAAATTAAAGGAATTATTTTTTCTTTAAAGACATGGGGGGGGGGGGGGGGGGGGGGGA